CAGTTAGATCAATTTTTTTGAGTTTTTCCAAAATATTTATTTGCATCGTTGATTTAATAAATTACTGTACTATAATATATGCAATATTGTAATAAAGTTGCAATCTTCAGAACATTTAAGAAGTATTTAGTTGTGCACTTGCATTGCCAAGGTATACAAAGCTATGGGTCAAGCACTGGAAAATTGGATTAGATTGGTTGGTGGTTGTTTTTGAATGGTGCGGACACAATGGGCTGAAGGGCTTGTTCTGTGCTGTAAATCTCTATGTCCTTGACTCTATGAGCTGCTTCTCATTTGGTGTGGCTATAAAGGATATTTTTAATTTTACTACAGAACAAATAAATTTGTCGAATTGAATAAATTTTAAAAATTGATGTTTCCTATAGCTAGACCCTAGTTGATAACATCACTGTGCAAAAGTTAAATTATTTTCAGTAAAACCCTCCTTAGATACTCTGCTTATGATCATTTTCTTAGTTATGGGGACAAGATTTTAGTTAATCTGTTTGTTAATTAACATGATTTCATGTCTAGTTACCCTGCTTTGTGTCAAGACATTGCATTTTGTAAACATAAGTCAACCCTTCAAAGTTCAAAAAGATAAGATAGTACACTTTTTGAAATAATAATGAAATGTGGAAAAGTTTGCGTGAACACTATGGTTTTACGTCTAGTTTTGAAACCTAGCCCTATCATGCAGGCAAATCAAATATTTACACTTTTTGAAGCTAAATATTTAGCCTGCTTTTGGACTCTATAGGTAATGCTCTATTCCGTGGAACTGAAACAAATGTTTTGATACATAGAGCTATCGGCAGGTAGTTTTCCAATGATTTGAATTACTAAGCTTTCAGAATTGAATTTGATGCAACAGTGTACCTGAAATGGATGATTGGTTTGAGAACGCTCACAGCATGATTTTAGATTTTGGTTGCTTATTCTACTGACATTAATATGTGCTAGTATGGTTTCATGTGTACCTGCAGGACTGTGAACCCTTGTCAATGTGACTGTTTCTCAATGTAAACAATTGACCTGCAAGATGCATCACAGAAATGCACGACCATGACCTCAGGGACATGGCATTTACATAGGTGCACTCTCCAGCAGGATCATAGGTACACTTAACACTTCTTCTTGTTTAAGCATGCAGGAAAGTATGTCAGTAGCAGCAGCATCAGGAATACCTAAAAATGAGGTGAAGCTAGAACACAGAACTACTTGCTTGCCAAATAGTGGAACCAGCATGTGAAAGATAGAGCTAAGTGATCCCACAACCAACAGTTCAGATCTAAACTTTATTTCTGCCTACATTTAGCATCACGAATGATGGGTAAACCTAGCACGTAGTGCAAGGAGACAAGCCAAACCATTTGTAACAAACTTCAACCATTATGGAATCAAGTTGATGATCCACCCATCTTAGCCTCTCCTGAGGTGCTCAGTGTCACAGATTTCAGTCAGCTTGATTCACTGCAGATGCTATAAAGAAATGATTGAATTCATAGGATACTGCAAAGCTATGAACCCCGACAACATTCTGAAAATAGCAGTGAAGAGTCATGCTCCAGAGCTAACCCTTGGCTAAGATGTTCCAATGTGGTCTGTTCACAAAATGCATGACAATCCAAGCCCAGTCAGTTATCACTATATCAGTCTACTCACAAACTGCTCAGTTTGTGGGTTCCTGCAGGACTTCCTAGCTCCTGACCTAGAACATAGAACATAGAACATTACAGCACAGTACAGGCCCTTCGGCCCACAATGTTGTGCCGAACTTTTACCCTAATCCTAAGGTCTATCTAACCTCCACCCCTACCTTATACTATCATCCATATGCCTATCTAATAGCCACTTAAATGCTCCTAATGAGGCCAACTCCACTACCCTCTCCAGCAATGCATTCCACGCCCCGACCACTCTCTGAGTAAAGAACTGCCTCTGACATCTCCCCTATATCTACCTCCACTCACTTTAAAACTATGCCCCCTCGTAATAGCTACCTCCACCCTAGGAAAAAGTCTTTGGCTGTCTACTCTATCTATACCTCTGATCTTTTTGTACATCTCTATCAAGTCACCTCTCATCCTTCGTCGTTCGAAAGAAAAAAGCCCTAGCTCTCTCAACCTTTCCTCGTAAGACCTTCCCTCCATTCCAGGCAACATCCTGGTAAATCTCCTCTGCACCTTTTCCAACGCTTCCACATCTTTCCTGTAATGAGGCAACCAGAACTGGACACAATACTCCAGATGTGGCGGAACCAGGGTTTTGTATAGCTGGAGCATAACTTCATGGCTCTTGAACTCAATTCCTCTATTAATGAAAGCTAACACACCATACGCCTTCTTAACAACTCTATCCACCTGGGTGGCAGCTTTCAGGGAACTGTGAACATGAACCCGGAGATCCCTCTGCTCCTCCACACTGCCAAGAATCTTTCCGTTAACCCTGTATTCTGCTTTCAAGTTTATCCTTCCAGAATGAATCACCTCACACTTTTCGGGGTTAAACTCCATCTGCCACTTCTCAGCCCAGCTCTGCATCCTATCAATCCTATTAAACTTTAGTCATAAGAACGATGCAGATGTGACCAGCACTTTAGAGTCATACCTTTTGTGGAAAATGCATTCATAACTGTGCCCTGAATAACACTAGTATGACAGTTTGACACCATCTAGAGCAAAGCAGCCCATTTAATATGTTTTTCACCATAAGCATTCACCTATCCGACACCAGCGCACTGTGACAGCAGCCTGTACCATCTGTAAGATGCAATAACTTGCCAAGGCTCCCTCTACTGCCTAGAAAAACAGGGCAGCAGAATCCTGGGAAGATCAACGAATGCAAGTTCCTCCTGTGATGATAGTACAGCTTTCAGAGGTGTATTTCGTCATGGTTGTTTTTTTATGAAGAGAGGTTCTGAGAAACAGAGGTACTGACTGGTCTGCTTCAAGACAATAAAGTAAGCAGCTTGTGAGGCGCCTTGGGAATTCTTTTTTAAAGTTGGAACAACAGAAGGAGCCTGAATAGGTAGGATCAAGCTCCCACAGAACTCGGATTTTTAGGTTAGCTTTCGGTAGTTGTTTGGGTTGTGAAAGCTGCTACACCTCTCTCTCTCTCTCTCTCTCTCTGTCTCTCTCTCTGTCTCTCTCACTTTGCTACAGCTAAACGCTTGGGTTCTCTTCCTGCTGCTAGAATTGTGTGTGAGACAACCTATTTTCCTGGCTTTGGCTTTGCCATGGATGTGCTTATGGGATATTCCTATATTGGAACAGTTAATGAGTAACTTATTATTTTGTTAAGTATTTCAACAGAGTTACAGTTAAGCCAATTCTTTTATATTTATTTTGTCTGTACTTTAACTATAGTGCATGAATAAAGTGTGTTTTGCTTCAAGGATAGTAGTTTGACCAATCAAATTGCATCCAGAACACAATGCCTGGCACTTGCCTTTAAAATAAGAAAAAGTTAGGGTTTTTTTTAATTAATTTGTGGGATGTGGGCATCGCTGGCTGGCCAGCATTTCTTGCCCATCCCTAGTTGCCCTTGAGAAGGTGTTGGTGAGCTGCCTTTTTGAACCGCTGCAGTCCTCCTGCTGTGGGTTGACCCACAATGCCCTTAGGGAGGGAATTCCAGGATTTTGACCCAGCGACAGTGAAGGAACGGCGATATATTTCCAAGTCAGGATGGTGAGTGACTTGGAGGGGAATTTGGAGGTGGTGGTGTTCCCATATATCTGTTGCCCTTGTCCTTCAAGACGGAAGTGGTTGTGGGTTTGGAAGGTGCTGTCCAAGGATCTTTGGTGAATTTCTGCAGTGCATCTTGTAGATAGTACACACTGCTGCTACTGAGGTCTAGGCTATCTCCTTGACATGCTTTGAGGGAGTTTGGTCTGGTCCATAAAAGTTACAAATCACAACATTTGAACTATGACTGGCCTGAATTTTTGTAAGAACTGATGTAGTCTACAGCTTAGTCAACTTGCTGCAGAGCTGCGATTTCTGAAGTCTTTTCCCCGAACCTGACAGCTATCATTTTCACAAGGGAGGGTGGCCAACTGGGAAGGGTTGTATTTTCTACATCCATGGTCACAGATGCAACTGGACACATTAAAGTGTGACTGTCTTCAAGCAGATGCAATGTTGTGAGTTGAATGTCCAAAACATGACTTGGATCCTTTCGAATTAAGTGTGTAAAGTTTCTAAAGTTAGTTAAAGAGGCAGGGTGCCATTTCGGGAGGAGCCCAGGGACACCATTTGGGAGAAGTTTAGTGACAATGTTTAGTAGAGATAAGTTACTCATTTGGATGATTAAAAGTTGACATGAATGTGCATGAAATGTAGATAAATTCATTGGAAATGTCAAGAAACTGTCAACGGAACTTCTAAGTTGTCATTATTGGCACTGTAGAAAAATTGAATTTAGAGGTAAAAAACATAATCAAGATGAACTTAATGTGTGCTAAATTATAGAATTTGATATCAAATTTGCTAGTAAAATTGTGACAGTTTTTTATAATAATGACAAGTTGACTTAACCAGTCAACTAAAGCAATCACCTGATAAATTCCTGCTTGAACTTGGGATGTTATTAAATCGTTGTTGCCCATTGTAAACAAGATGGTAGTGTGTGTACCCTCTTGAACAGCTGAACATGTCCTATATGTTGATAGTGTTAGTTGGGGATGTGGAGATTGTCAAATTAAACACAGCTGCATCTCAGCTGTAGAATAACATTGGAAAAGGAAATCCAGACTTCATAAAACAAAATCAGATTAATGCATAAATAAATTCAGTTATGTTTTAATACTGTTTGGCTAGCAGCATTATTATGATAAACAAAGGTTTGTCATTGATTTTGTAATACAGATATTTAGACAGCACTCTTAAGCAGTAATATGTCTTAACAAGAAACCTATATAACACTGAAGAAATTTAAGATACAGCTCAATGACTTGTCTATTTAAGGGATTTAAAAATATTTCTCTTTTTTTGTTTCAGCTCTCCCCATCAAAGATGATTCATTGTGGCACTGTGAGGTCTTTCACTCGATGCTTAGTTCGTCGAAAATTCATAAGCCAAAATAATCTTGAAGATACCAAACTATGCCGCTGTTTGTCCACCATAGACCTGATAGCTCTGGGAGTTGGCAGCACTCTCGGAGCTGGTGTTTATGTGCTAGCTGGTGAGGTCGCTAAATGGGATTCCGGACCCAGCATTATCATCTCGTTCCTAATTGCGGCACTGGCTTCAGTGATGGCTGGTCTATGCTATGCAGAATTTGGGGCCCGTGTTCCAAAGACTGGTTCTGCATATCTATACAGTTACGTGACTGTTGGTGAGCTCTGGGCATTTATCACAGGCTGGAACTTAATTCTTTCTTATGTCATTGGTAAGTGTTTCTTATGTACCTACCCAGGATTCACCTTCCATTTATTTTTGTGCATCACTAAACTTTGGATTATCCTGGTTTTCCTGAAGATTATGGTAGAATATACTTTGAGGGTTAAGTTAATTATGTTTAAATTTTATTGGAACTGGGTTCTGACTAAAGTTGAATAAAAGCTATTTCTTTCAATAACCTGCCTTCCTAGGCAAAATTTCAATGTGAAAATATTCTTCTAGTCCAGAAAAGTATATAACTTTCATAGACTATACCAATCCTGGAATGATGGTAAAAGAGTTTCAATCATGTAAATACTCAATTCATTCAATTCAAATTACTCTCCTTAATGGTTCAGTGGAGGGATTAACATTTGACTTAATTGCTAAAGCCCATGTTTAAAAGTTAAATTAATTAAAATGACAGAAATTGTCATAGAATTTATGTGATAAAATCACTAAATTATTAGTCATCTTTGGCTATACCATGATGGTTCTCTGGAATGCAATCTAATTATTCCCATTCCCTTTTTCTCTCCCATAGGCCCATAATTTTATTAATATCATGAATTTTGTTTCTGTAAAATGACTATCTGATTTCCTTATAAAATAATTTATAATATCTACATCCATTATACCTCATGGGCAGCAGGTTCCAGATCATTACCAGTCGCTATGTGAAATTGTTCTTCCACTTGCTGCTTAGTTCTTCTGAAATATGCTTATTTGTTGGAGTATTACTTTTTAATGTGACAATTGCAGAGTGTTCCTGTAAAGTATTTAAGCATTGTCCTTTTGTAGATAAAGTTATTACAGCTTGTGCAAAGTTACCCTCCCAGGAACTGTTCCAAACAATCAAAGAACACATGAAGCCCTCTGAAATGAATTTAGAGCAAGGATAGTCTCGAATGTGATGCAGATCCTATTGCGATTATTTGTCTAATCAACATTTTGTTCATTGGATTATCTACAGTTTTCTTTTCTTAAGTGCTACTGGCCACCAATGAAGCAGTAATGTGAGTGTGTAACTTAGTAGTATTTCTTTCATTTGTTCTTGTGCTTAGGTACATCAAGTGTTGCCAGGGCATGGAGTGGTACCTTTGATGAACTTGTTGGCAAACAGATTGGAATTTTCTTTGGCACATACTTCAGGATGAATTCACCAGGACTAGCAGAATATCCAGACTTTTTTGCAGTGTGTCTTATATTATTATTGTCAGGTATGGTGAGAGTGAAGTTTCAATGTATCATTTTACAGTAAGCAGGATAAGATATTTATCATGCTTATAAAATTAAGGGAATTATCTAGGACATGATCTTACAATCACATTTAAAAACATTAGAGGCACCTAGAGTGGATATTTTCTGAAAATGAGCATGGAGTTCACAATGTATGATTAACCTGTGCCTGCAGACAGCAGCCCAACAGCTTCCCAGTTCATTGCGGTGACCTCTGTGCCCAAAGGGGATTAACCCTACTAACCCTTCATTGACCAGGCACATCAATAGGTGCCAAATATTGTGATTAGCTAGTACTGTTTAAAAAGAAATTGCATTGTGACAGCAGCAAGTGCTGGGAATTGTGAATGAAGAAGATTAGACCTGGGAAAAAGTGAGGAATGGCACAACCAGGGTAAAAGAGAGCTTCACAGTGTTTTTACATCCTGCTAAAGGAGGTGAAAAGGTGGAGATAACAAGGTGTAGAGCTGGATGAA